TGGTGGTCTACAGGATGAGTACAAGAGGTCAGGGACAGTTGGCCAACTAAGAAGGACCATTGGGAAGCCTTTTCCAGCTGTGGTGGTCTACGGCCATTCTTATGGGCTGGATTGGGGGAGAATAAGCCCAGCCCAGGCCAGCTGGATTGTATCAAGTGGGGGAAGAACCTCTCTGCCTCCACCTCTTCCAAGCTTCCAGGGAACGCGATGTCCCTTCTTTCTGGGGGGGTTGTTAGAGCCCAACCGTGTTCCCTTTTGACCTGAACCCGGGTGCTTTTGGCAGAGCAAGTCCCTTGGCTGCTGCCCAGTCCCACCCAGCTTAGAACATATTTGCAAACCCAACCTGACCACCTCCCCAAACGCACTTCGCGAGGTGAGAGGCAGATCGGTTTTTGTTTATAAGCCATCCAAAGTTTCCTAATCTTGTCCGGTGTTTACTTGCATTGCAATTCTTCTGGGGCTTTGCGATCGCCTTTGCAAATGACGGAGAGCTGGCGGGAATTTATTTTGCAATCACTCAATAAAAAAGTTTGTACTTTTCACCTTACGATGGTTTAGGTTCCTTTTGTTCAGCCAATTGTTCAGCCAAGTCCCGTGACCCAAGTAGGTCACATCTTTAAGCACTAGGAGGGAGGTGGGTGTGCGGGGTGGAGAAGGAGAAGAAGGACAAGGACTAGGAGGTCCTTGGTGGTCTCTGAGCTTCGTTTTCTTGGAGATATTTCACAACCCAGCTAGGTGATAAATTCACTGCACCTAACGAAACATGCAAGGAAGCTCAGAGGATCCCAAGGAGCCCACAGACCTCCTTCCTCCTCCTCCTCCTCCTCACCACACCTGACTCCCATCTGGTACTGAAGATGTTCCCTAGTTGGGCCATGAAACGTCTGCAAGAAAAGGACCAAGCTTAGAGAGGACCAAGGATCCCATCCTCATCCTCCCCTCTGCCCAACCCCCTCTCCCTCCTAGCACTGATGAGGTTCCCTAGTTGGGTCATGAAACGTCTGCAAGAAAAGGACCAAGCTCAGAGAGCACCCAGGACCTCACACTTCTTCCTCCTCCTCCTCCTCCTCCTCCTCCTCCTCCTCCTCCTCCTCCTCCTCTTCCTCCCCTCTCCTCCTCCACATACCCCACTCTCATTTAGCACTGAAGATGTTCCCTAGTTGGGTAATGAAACCTGTGCAAGAAAGCCAGCAAGCTCACAGACCATCAAGGAGCTAAACTCCCTCCTCCTCCTCTTCCTCCTCTTCCTCTTCCTCCCCTTTCC